ATTGGTAGTTTTTTATACCCGTCGGCGCACATGGTTTAACGCAAGTCAGTAAAATTTTCCAACCCTTGGCAACCCCATCAAGAGAACATAGTCACATACTATATTTAAAAGGTCTACAAGTTGATCAGCAATTGAAGGCAAGAACCCAGAATGGCACAAGGAGAAGCCTTCATGGAGTTGAAACAAGTTTTGGGCATGAAGAGAGGAGATGGAGAAAACAGCTACGTCAAGACTTCATTACTCACGGTCTTATTATCCAGCCTCTGTTTCTCTTCATTTACTTCCATTTTGATTTTGTCGCAATTCCTTCATTGCTCTGTTCTGTTTATTTCAAATGGCTCTTCTCTTTCAATTTTGCAGCAAAAAATCGCAGCCATGAGCATGCCTATGGTCGATAGAGTGGTTCAATCTCTCTTCCGAAGTCCTAATCTTTTCTCTTGTGACGTACTCAACATTGCAGATTTGGCTTGCTCTTCTGGTCCAAACACGTTTCTAGTGATGTCAACAATGTTGCAGAGCATAGCTAACAAGTGCAGTGAGCTCAAAATCCAGATACCAGAAATTCAATTTTACCTCACTGATCTACCCTCTAATGATTTCAACACACTGTTCAAGGGTCTTTCTGTTTTCAGTCAAAAATACGTCGATCAGTATTCTTGTTTCTTCGCAGCAGTTTCTGGTTCTTATCATGGCCGGATTTTTCCTCGGAACAAGTTGCATCTTGCTCATTGCTCTTACGGACCACATTGGTTCTCTAGGGTCCCCAGAATTGTCACCGAAGGGGGATTGCCTCTCAACAGGGGAAATATTTACATATCTAAAACGAGTCCTTTTGAGGTAAGGCAAGCATATCTTTCTCAATTTCAAGAAGACTTCCTCTCCTTCTTGAAATCCAGGTCTTTAGAGTTGGTACCTGACGGTCTAATGCTTCTGGTACTCCCTGGACGGGAATCCGAGGATCCAACATGCATAAGCTTCTGCTACACATGGGACGTTTTATCCCAAGCCATAGCTGAGTTGGTTAAACAGGGATTGATTGAAGAAGAGAAATTAGACAGTTTCAACGTGCCACTCTACGCTCCATGGCAAGAGGAAGTTCGAGAAGTAGTGGAGAAGGAGGGGTCTTTTACAACAGAGCATCTCGAAACGATGGCGATGGAGATTCGAGGCACGAGTTTATGGCCAACACCGGAACACAGGGCGAAGGATGCCAGGTCCTTTACGGAGTCAATGATTTCAGCGCAATTTGGAGAAGATGTAACAGACAAGCTATACGATAAGTTCAAAGAGATTCAAGTTGCGAGTTGCATGCAAGGAAGAGAACCAACACACGCCATCAGCATTGTCCTTGTGCTAAGGAAGAAAATAACCTAAACCTAAGAATCCACACTATTAGTTTCTAATAACCCGTTGGGTTTAAGGGAATCGGGGAGG